TCCTCCATCCATCCCCATCCATCCTCCATCCATCCTCCATCCATCCTCCATCCATCCCCCATTCCTCCCTCCATCCATCCCCCATTCATCCTCTTTCCTCCCTCCCTCTCTCTTTCTGTGAGAGTGTGCTGCCACTGGTTGGTCGAGCAGACAGACTGAACCCGATGACCTCGGTGGGACAGAGAGAAAAGTTTACATAAGAAGACAAACTTTCTACGACTGCAGGGACATCTCATCCCTCCATCACTGGTCTGTAAATCATCAGAAGACCTGAGGAAACCAGGTCTGATGCCTGTGGGACACAAGGAATGGAGACACACTGGACAACCCGTCCCCTGCACGTGGTTGTCCAGAAACAACATAGTTAACCTAAAGTATGTCAGCAGGTCAGGTTCACAACTAGCTTCTCCACCCTGTGGTTGTTTGCCTCCACTAACCAGTGTCGTTTCAGTCCACATACATTATTCAAACTAGTATGAGGTCACTTTGGGGACAAGGGACAACTGGTCGAAAGGGACACTTGAGCTATCACATTCAAGACGCCAGAAACATGTTTGTGAGGTCACAGGGACCTTGACCTTCGACCAACAAAATCTCATCAGTTCATCCTTGAATCGTCCAGAGCCTCCTCTCCAGGACCCGGCAGCCATTTCTCTCAGGAAGGCTGAGGAGTGTGATCCACCGCCCTGAACAGGAACAAGAACTGTTCCCGAGGTTCAGCATCTCACAGAGAATCTCATCCATTCCTGACACTACCCACAGGGGAGCGTCTTTACTCGTGCGACCTCAGGGATGAAGCTCTCCCTCATCCTCAGAGGACGTGGTGTAACCGAACTCGATGTGGTCTCGATAACAGTCAGAGGAACGGATCGACAACATGGAAACTTCCGGCCACTTGGTGTCAAGGGAGTGGAGGAGTAACAAGAGTCTCATCAACAATGAGAGAGAGGAACTTACTCCGAGAGCGGCTGGGGGATCAGTCAGGATCATCAGGAGGCAGCTGAAGGTGAGGGGGAGAGGAAGATGATATTTTTACGTTATCATGTTAATTTATACGTTTACATGTTTAACAGACGTGCTGATTTTTTTATTTACCAGAGCCAGGTGAAGGGGGCGCAGCAGGAAGTAGGCAGCATCTCGTCCCCTCGCCTGGAGGAAGTCCCGCCCACGACACAGCCCTCACTCTGACTCCACCTCTGGCTGTATTTCAGCCAAAGAAGACGTCCCGATGCTGCAGCGCCAGTGGTCGTCCTCCAGAGACAAAAGAGACAAACTAAAGACACAGAGTTCATCCTCTGAGGAGAAGGAATCAGAAGCTTCATCGTGTGTTTCCGTCTCCTTAAAAAACTGAACTGACCTCAACACATTTCACATGAGAAGTTTCTGCTCAAGATTCTGTTCTAGAGTCTTTAGTTAAAGGGACAGTGAGACACTGGGAACTGTCTGTGATGTCTTTTAGGTTCAAACTTGGTGTAAGTGACGTCGTTTCACTGGTTCACCCTGAAACTCCAGACGGGTTTTGTGGACTCAGACACTTCACCCATTCACTTCCTTTGTGTGTGAACTGTCCCTTTAAAGTGTTGATGTTGAAAAGAAAATACACAAAGACACTGAGAGAAACTACAATTACTGTCCTACGGTTGTATGACTCCAGAGACCACTTCAGGTTCAGTCTACATGCAGTTTGGTCCTTATGACCTTTGACCTCTGAGATATACTCAGTTCATCTCTGACCTCTGGTTCAGAGTGAGTTCACAGTGACCAACTGATTCTTGAGACATCGTGATCACAGAATGGACGGACAGACAACTTGAAGACATTACACCTCCTGCCACTGGGTGTTGCTGGCACTGAGACATGGAAACCACTGGTCCACCAGCAGCATCACCAGTCGCTGTCCTCAGGAACGTTGCGGTTCTCTCCTTGGTACCGTCATGGTTCCTCTCCTCATCCCCTCCTGGTGTTCTTGAGAACGTTCTGTTATTCCTCCTTCGGCCACCAGGTGTCCCCACACTTTCCCTTCACTCCTGCTGTTCTGTGCACTGACACATCTGTTCTCAGTTTCTCGTCAGTGGTTCAACTGTTCGATTTCACTTGATCTGTTTCTGGATCCTCGCTCTATTTTCACTTGATGACACAAACTTTGTTATTGTCTCTATGTCTCCATGCCAGTGACCGGAGACATTGTGTTTTCAGGTTGTCCATCTGTCTGTCCCACTCCTGTGAACGTGATATCTCAAGAACGCCTTGAGGAGATCGCTTCAGATATTTACTTGAACTGAAGATTGAACTGATTATTGGTGGACGAAGGTCAAATGGTCAAAGTCACATGACCTTGGGTTGTTGTGTCATACAGCCTCAGTGAGTCCATCAGCCAATGAGAGAGAGGCAGGGCTGACGAGGACATTAAACTCACAACATCATGGCAACACTGCCCCCTACCATTCACATGGCTATTACACCTCACCACCATGATGCGTACACCGGTACATCTCCGGCTGTAGCTACGAGGTGAACGTAACGAACACACCAAACGTAAAACATTAAGGGGAGGGGCTTATTTACTGAACCCTGTTTGGCTCCAAACTGGTAGTGATGTCATAAATACTGCAGGTACCTTGATACAGTGAGAAAACTCAGTCTGAGTACTTTTACTCCATTACAATACAACCAACTAAGTACTTGAACTTTTCCTGAATATTATTTATATTTTCACTCAACTCTTTTCATTTACTCCGTTACTATGCAACATTCAAATACTTTTACTTTACCCGAGTATTTGTTTATATATTGTAACTGTTTACTTTTACTCCATCACTCTACAGCCTTTGAGTACTTTTACTTTGCCTGAGTATTATTTATGCTCTGACTCTGAACGTTCACTTTATTACTCTACAACCCAGAAGTACTTGTATGTACTTTAACTCCATCACTCTACAGCTGACTCCCTGTATTTACTCTGAGTATTACTAGTACTAGACTGTGTTATCGACATACATCAGGTACTTCGAGGTACTGAATTAAACCTAATTTGTCTTCACGTTAAACAGAACAAGAGACAGTCTGACGTCATCATCTCAGTCCAGTGTCTTGAGAGTAGTTGAGTAAAAGTACTCCGTTACTTGTCCACTGTCGTCCTCAGCTTCATCCGCGGCTCAGTCATCAAGTAACGGAATCGACCCGTCGACGTCATGAAGACACAGTTAACTTTGAATTGACGGTAAATTAACGCTCAGTGAACTAATTCACGGTTAACGAGCACCGGATTCACACGTCACAGCTCAGGTGAGTCTTACCTGAAGGTCTCGCGCTCGGTCCGCGTGAAAACTTTGATCCTGGAGCACGAGCCGCAGCTTCTCACACACGGAGCTGCGCGTTCACACACGGAGCTGCGCGTTCACACACCGCAATCACCTGCAGCCACGCACACCAACACTTCCGGTCTGCAGTCCCGGCCATCCAAAATAAAAGCCCTGAATAAACTGATGGAAGTCAATTATCATTGAAACTTTTATTTAGTTAAAAACAAAATTATATCAAGAACCAAAATACTTAAATACCCTAACAACACTCTAAACTACTCTCTATTACTTTGTATGAGTGTGTATTACTGTGTATCCATGTGCATCAGTATGTGTTACTGTATATAACTATGTGTTGTTCTACACTTTCATCGATTTCTTTACTTTACATTTCCTTCCACGTTATTCTTCTCACCTTCTGATGGAAGGAAGACCTTTCACATTTTGATATCTTTGTATTTTTTACTTTCTCAGAAGTAAATGATCTGAAAACTTAATTCACAAAACAAACAACTGTTTATTTAACAAATTCAAATATGTCTCTTCTTCAGTCAATGTGAACAAAGTTTTTATTTGTATTATATTGTTGAACTCAAGTAAAACTTGACTTTACTACACAGATAACACAGATTCATGTTTGTCTGTGATCCTGTGATGGTTCCATGTGTGTGGTTGTGTGACTTGTTCATCATGTTGTTAATGATTTTGATGAGTTTTATCATATTTACCTTAAAATATTGAAGAAAAACATTTAAAAACCATCTCATGATTTGAAATCATCAATATATATTTATTCATGGCAGTCTGATACTTTACAACATTATAAATGTTATTGTCAGTAAAATATATTTCATGATCCATTTCAGGGTCTTGAATTCAACTTTTTCTTTTCCTATGTGCAACATAAACCTACATGTGACTGAGTACTTCATCACTGATCCTTTTATTAACATTGAGCGGACCCGTGTTTGGGGGCTTTTATTTTTTAGAGCAGGACCGGAATTTGTGTAGTGGATGTTGAGGGTTTGATTCCCGCACTGACTGTCTCCATCCCACAGTCCGGACACCGCACAGACCCCCCGAGGAGTGCAGTCCATCCCGAGCCGAGCCGCCCGTGGACCCGGTGTGATGAGGCCGAGACTCTGCAGCTCTGTGTCCGGACGTATGGAGCCTCCAGGCGGCCTGAGGCGGAGCATCGTCCCGCTGCTGGTTCTACTTCTCTGCTGCTGTGGAGCCGCTGAACACAGGGTGAGACACACACACACACACACACACACACACACA